AGGTTTTACGTTTACTGTAGACAACAAACCATGAAGTTATTTGGAATATCCACAAAGTATAAAACCATTTATAGTTTTTGCAATAATATCTCTTCAAAAAATCTTATAAAAGTAAAATATTAATTTTTTTTTATGTTGCAACCTAGAAAATGGGTCATATCTAGCAAATGCTCGCTATACTTTGTACTTTGCATGCCAAAAAAAATCAGATATTGAGGACAAGTTGAAATGTTATTGTGAATATTACTAGACATGTTGAAACTACTCAAAAATCGCAGCAAGAAATTATTTCAAGACGTAATTCAACTAACTATATAACCCACTCACCTGTCGACAAAAGTCCGCTGTTCAGCATCGACAGCTTAATGGTGTTGGGTATTGACACTAAAGATGTCGCAGCTGTTAAAGTTCTTTTCTTTTTCGGCTTATCAGAATCCGAAAATCTGGGCGTAGACCGCGACCTGTGTTTCCGATGATTTGTCGTTGACGAGTGAGTCTTTCTCGGTGGCTCGGATTGAGTCGACATCATTTTCAACAGGGACTTAATTTTCGATCACTTGTTTTAACAAGTTTGCAAATAAATAAAAACACTGAAAGTAAAACAACGAAAAAACACTAACGAGAACGCTTTTTAACACGATTTGACGACAATCTTTTTATAGAGTATTGAGTCGCGAACACATCTTAACACTAATGTTACTAGAATAGGCGACAGCATCTTCGGTGTCCTGAAACAAAAATAAAGAGTTAAAACAAGTCACTTAAAAAAGGGATAATTTAAATATATTTAATATTATTATAGTGATGATAGCTTTAAATAAAATGGAAGCGGTACTGACAGATCAGTACTGTATGAGTAGTGGTATACAAGGGAAGAAAAAGTAGGGGAAGAGCGAATATAAAGATAGGAGATGAAAAATTAGAAGAAGTGGCTGATTTTAGATACTCAGGAAGTCAGATAAGTGAGGATGGAAGGAGTAGTAGGGATATAAAGCAGAGGATAGCGCAGGGTCGTGTCGCCTTTAATAAAAAGAAGTCACTTCTATGCTCGCGAACGGTTAATTTAGAAATTCGAAAAAGGTTGTTAAAGGTGTATGTTTGGAGCACGGCGTTGTACGGGTGCGAAACATGGACAGTGGGAGCGGCGGAAAAGAAAAGGTTAGAAGCGTTCGAAATGTGGTGTTATAGGCGGATGATGAGGATATCGTGGGTAGAAAAGGTTAGAAATGAAGAGGTATTGGAAAGAATAGGAGAACAGAGGACTCTATGGAAGTCAATAAAAAATAGGCGAGATAGGTTGGTAGGACACCTTCTCAGGCATGAAGGTCTAGTCAGAGACATATTAGAGGCAGAAACAGGAGTTAGGAGGGGTAGAGGTAGACCTAGATTAGATTACTCTTCGCAAATAGTTAAGGATGTGGGCTGTTCTAGTTTTAGGGAAATGCGAAGTTTAGCTCAGGATAGGAAAGAGTGGAGGTACGTGTCCAACCAGTCTTAGGACTGATGACCTTATGATGATAATGATAGTGATGATGAGCTAAATGAGCGTTTTTCTTGGTCCAGGGCCACTAGAAAACCCGGGGCGACATTTATGTAATACAATAAAACGTTTAAGCCAAACAAGGACATTGGCATAACTATATTACTGTTTTCATTGTGAAACGGAATACCAGCAATGAAACTGCAATGATGGAAAATATTTGCTACAATAATAATTAATAATGGTAGAATAATGATCCAAATATCTATAGAATTTAATAAAGGGTAGTTTCAACACTTCGTCTTTCCACCCTTAAATATAACAGTATAAAAACTAAAAGATAGGCAAAATTTTATATTGTTTTAACTGAAAGATTCTGCTAAGGAAAACTAGCTTTTAATTGGAGAAACTGGGTCATGTCAATTTTGTAGAGTTTGAAATTTCCTAGAAATAAGTCCGGGAAAGAAGGTCTATACTTTGAAATAGAAAGTTTTTATCGCATTAGTAATTGTTTCGCAAATTTTTTCGCTTTTTCAGAAGTCGACAGAGCACATTCACACAAGCAATTGTTAAGGCAATTAAAACTGTGGAAATTACAGTCGGAGTTATTATTTATTTTACTTTAAAATCTAAAAAAGTTAGTGTTTTATGTAGACTTATGGAAGTTATAAAAAATTATCCAAATATTCGTTTTTCGTCATTTTTAAAAGGAAATGGTAAAAGGAAACTAAAAAGCGGACGCAGTTCTACGTCTTCGAATCCTCGTCCTTTTCGCATAAGAAATTATAGTATTCCTTAAAATTTTGCTTTTCCTCGTGAAACACAATATGTAGTTTACTTAAATAGGCATATGCACTGCATTTAGCGTCTGTTGTTAAGTATCTCACGTGTTCTGTAATCTATTTTGAAGCAATTTTTAAACTGAGTTGGAATTTATTTCCGTTCCCGTTCCACTTTCATAAAATCAACAAGACAAGCAATTTTCCTGTAGGCAATATTTTTGGTTCACATTTTACCCATTTTTACTACATGTCAATTTCATAAAATAGTAATAACGATTTTAATATCTACAACTTATTAAACAATGCACTACATAATTCATATTAATAAAACCTATTTATTGTTGGTACACATCCAGTTTGCATAATAATAAATAATTGATGCCTTTTTGTATCTAATCGAAATATCCAAAGATAGAGGTTTTACGTTTACTGTAGACAACAAACCATGAAGTTATTTGGAATATCCACAAAGTATAAAACCATTTATAGTTTTTGCAATAATATCTTTTCAAAAAATCTTATAAAAGTAAAATATTAATTTTTTTTTATGTTGCAACCTAAAAAATGGGTCATATCTAGCAAATGCTCGCTATACTTTGTACTTTGCATGCCAAAAAAAATCAGATATTGAGGACAAGTTGAAATGTTATTGTGAATATTACTAGACATGTTGAAACTACTCAAAAATCGCAGCAAGAAATTATTTCAAGACGTAATTCAACTAACTATATAACCCAAAAAAGAATGACTTCATAGAAAATGATCCACTTACCGCCCCTAGGTAAGTGGATCATCCATAAATTACGTCACACGAAATTCATGATTTTTTGACCCCTCACCCGTCCTTGTCACTGCTTGTCACATTTGTGAGAGTCCCCCCTTCCTAGTGTGACGTCAGATATTTTGCAATTTTTACATCTAGAAATTATTGAATAGTGTTTTAATACGTAGATTTTGAAATGTGACGTCACGAAATTTAGGACCCCTCCCATCCCCTTGTCACACAATGTCACACTTCGTCAACCCCCTACCTCCCCCTTACCGTGTAACGTAATTTATAGATAGCCCCCTACCATCAATTGTAAATGTCAACATTTTACAGCTTCTAAAGAATTTGAAGTTCACTGTATAACTTCCGGATCGCCAATTAAAATTTGTTGAAATTTACAATTAGTACATCTCTTTCCATATGTTCGTCATTAATTTCAAGCAAGTAACAGGTTTTTTGTTTGCAATCGCATGTATGTATATGGGTTTTGTAATCTTTTTGTTTTACAGTTTTATAAACAGAGTACTAAACATTCTGCCTAAATTTAGATTTACCGTATTCGCAATTATTTATTAGCTTTATTTTATATCTTTAAGACTGTTCAGAGAAAGCAAATAAGACTGGGAATTTTTTCACGATAAATTTATGTTTGCGTGTAGGTAACGGATAAGTTTGAAAAATGCGAAACTTTTTTGTTGGAAATTTACTTAAAGCATTGCGGCTCGCATTCGTCATCTAAAACTGGTGGTAGGAATTCAAAAATTTCCAAAAATAAACGCAGATGTTTGTTCGTTGATCTCGTATAGGTATAGTGTATATGTACGAATGTAGAACGATGTGAACTTGACCACAAAACATCATGCAGTTTGACCTGGTTCCCAACGGTGTTTATATGTATAGAATCAAGGTATTGCCAGATAAATAAACTGAAAATAATGACAATTTAATTCCATTTACACTATGGGGTCCCATAAAATTATAACAGATATAGAAAAATTATAGGCACAAATACAATACTAGAAAAAAGAAAAACAAAATTACTAAAATACGACACGTTATTTAGTTAATAGCTCACTGATCAAAAGATTATCTTGAATCCAGCAAATATTTGTTAATTAATCATTAAAAACCGTCAGTTTCTACTAGTTTCTTACTTTTACAGTAGAACCCGCTTATAATAACATCGAAGGGAAATTGCAAACACGTCGTACTAAGCGGGCGTCATACAAAGCATAGTCTTAGAAAATAAACAACTTTCTATTTTGATTAGTTATTCAGTTTAATAGAGAGAAAAACTACAAATTGTATGAATTTATTAACATAAAAAGAAAAAGAACGATGAATTGTAATATCAATATGCATAAGAAGGGTCGGAAAAATGAGCGAAAATGTTATTATTATTCAGTTGGGTCACTATAGCCGGATATGATTTTTTGAGAATCAGTCATAATAAACGATATGTCATTTTAAACGGAGTCATTATATACAAACTTTCCTATAGAAAATTTAATATGAAAACCAAACTTAACACTGCAATTACTTCATATTAAACGGTTGGTTAATATAGACCGAGCCATGATAAACGAATTCTACTGTATATTGTTAGTCCAAGAAAATACCGATTTTGATCTTCAGTTATTTTCTGAAATATTTGAATAGTTGGTTTAGCATTCTCAAATTAACCTTTGGATCAAAATTATTTAGCATTTTTTCAGATAAAACAATTCCAAATTTGCAGTCGTTTTCGTGAATCTCTCCCCTTTTATCCGATGGTTTAAAACATCACCCTCTTTAATTAATTGTAAATATTTATTTCAAACAAATTGTTCTCAACATTTATACACATAATATCTCCCCTTTTATCCGATGGTTTAAAACATCACCCTCTTTAATTAATTGTAAATATTTATTTCAAACAAATTGTTCTCAACATTTATACACATAATATTATGTAGATTCGCGTATTATAATAACCATTGTATGTTTGTATGTACTCAATGTAAAAATGAAGATAGGCACACTATGTATAAAATTAGCACTTGGGCACCAGTATCTCTGCCAGTTGATTCGTTCAAACGTTACCTCTACTCTGTGCCAAATAGCTCTTGTTTTGTAAAGAGCCAGAGAAATATCTGCTAAGTTTTAAATCATAATGAAAGGAATAAAAAGCCATTATTGTAAAAGTCACACATTCTTTATTCACAATTCGATGCGTAGGCAAAATTACTCTGTTCTCTCAAGGAAGCTATTGTACAATTTATTATATTTTAAAGAATGAACCAATGAGAACATTACTTGCTGCAAATTGATACAGATGTTTTGGTCGTTTAACTTCAAATGCAAAATCAAAGAGATCTTCTTTTGCTGCAAGTTGAAGCAACTGTTTTAGTTGTTTCGCAAATGAATGTTGAACCGTCTAATCAACAATGAATTTGAACTTTACTGCAAGTTAAAACATATGTTTCAGTTATCCACTTTATTTGCTGCAAGTCGAAGCATACACATCCGTTGCTTCGTAATTCAGAGTCAACCTCTAAAATGTACTAATATTTAATACAAAGTTGAGGCAACTGTTTCAGTTACTTCGCAATTGAATTTGAAACCGTCTAATCTACGAAGAAGTTAAACTTTCTATGCTGCAAGTTGAAGCATATGTTTCAGTTATCTAATTTCTTTCCTGCAAGTTGAATCACACACTTCAGTTGCCTAGTAATTCAAACTTAAAGCCAAATGGACGAATATTTACTGCAAATTGAAGCATGTGTTTCAGTTGCTTAGTAAGTAGTAAGTGAAACGTCAATTACTCAAATCAAAGGGACCTTTTTGTTTGCTGCAAGTTGAGGCAACTGTTTCGGTTGTTTCGTAATTTAATTTTGAACCGTCTAATCTACAAAGAAGTTGAACTTTCTATGCTGCAAATTGAAGCATATGTTTGAGTTACCTACTTCTTTTGCTGCAAATTGAATCATGCACTTCAATTGCCTAGTAATTCAATGTTAAAGCCCCAAATGCAGGAATATTTACTGCAAATTGAAGTACCTATATGTTTCGGTTGCTTAGTATTAACGAATGCTTTCTTAGCTGCTAGTTGAAACATATGCGATAGGTGCTTACAAATTAAATATTAAAGTTCCAATTTTACGAATCAAAAAGACCTTTCGTTACTGCAAGGTGAAGAATATGTTTCAACTACTTGAGAGCGAATCGCTTACTCTATTTGCAGCGGTAAAACTCCACCCTGATTCATTAAGGATTTCTGATTAAAATTGTTTTAGAATTTTATTAAGTATTGGCAGATATCTGTTAAATTCAAACGTATTTAGATAATAATATGTAAATGTTGTTTTTAATAATTAACATTTACATTAATAGTTATTTTATATCTTTAAGACTGTTCAGAGAAAGCAAATAAGACTGGGAATTTTTTCACGATAAATTTATGTTTGCGTGTAGGTAACGGATAAGTTTGAAAAATGCGAAACTTTTTTGTTGGAAATTTACTTAAAGCATTGCGGCTCACATTCGTCCTCTAAAACTGGTGGTAGGAATTCAAAAATTTCCAAAAATAAACGCAGATGTTTGTTCGTTGATCTCGTATAGGTATAGTGTATATGTACGAATGTAGAACGATGTGAACTTGACCACAAAACATCATGCAGTTTGACCTGGTTCCCAACGGTGTTTATATGTATAGAATCAAGGTATTGCCAGATAAATAAACTGAAAATAATGACAATTTAATTCCATTTACACTATGGGGTCCCATAAAATTATAACAGATATAGAAAAATTATAGGCACAAATACAATACTAGAAAAAAGAAAAACAAAATTACTAAAATACGACACGTTATTTAGTTAATAGCTCACTGATCAAAAGATTATCTTGAATCCAGCAAATATTTGTTAATTAATCATTAAAAACCGTCAGTTTCTACTAGTTTCTTACTTTTACAGTAGAACCCGCTTATAATAACATCGAAGGGAAATTGCAAACACGTCGTACTAAGCGGGCGTCATACAAAGCATAGTCTTAGAAAATAAACAACTTTCTATTTTGATTAGTTATTCAGTTTAATAGAGAGAAAAACTACAAATTGTATGAATTTATTAACATAAAAAGAAAAAGAACGATGAATTGTAATATCAATATGCATAAGAAGGGTCAGAAAAATGAGCGAAAATGTTATTATTNATATATACTTATGATTACGAACAAGAGGGAATCGGGAGCTGGACGTCGTATACGCGCCCGAATTATACACAGACTACTGGGATAATTCCGGTGCTTCTCTCCGATACGCCACGACCAACGAGTTGGAGCCGTCGCGACGGCTCTGTGTCCGCGTCGGTCTTGGCAACACCCGTCACACGAGGAATAACGTAAAGACGTAAGACAAGACGCCGAAGACGCTTGTGCGTGTCAAATTTAACGGGTTCTTTGATGTTTTTGATTGCAAATGACACAGTCAAGAACGTATCGGACACGCACACAATAGGGTGCCAAAGACGCTTATCAATTTCCACCCCAATAACTCCAAAACCAATCAAATAACGATTCCGCAACTAGTTTTAGAGTTTGTAAATCCCAGAGAATGACACATTACATTAAAGTTCTTGGTCAATTGTACATCAGTAGATTGACATTGTTATTGATTTTTAATCTTATTATTGGGTAATGTTTCGGAAACGGATGTTAAACAATTTTGTTCATTTTGATTGTAATTTGATCAGAAATTGGTTGAAGACAGTCCACAAAAACGTCTTAAAAAATGTTTAATCAGTTGCGTTGAATCTATCGGTATGAATACCATGAATGAAATCATATTTTACTTGGGCAAAACGTATGCTATAAATCGTTCCAAAACCCTCGAATTGGTTAAAAACAATCATTGCTACATTTGAAATTATGAAATGGCAGTGCAATAATGTGTATATATTATTTTTGCATTTTCAAAACTTCAATAGATTTTACGAATGTAAGAGCATTTTTTGGACTTGGGCGCGGACAATCGTAAAAAAAATGTCATTCATCATGTCAAAAGCCGTCAGCATCGGGCACGGTTTGGCAAAGTATTGTCATTCCATTTTGGCCGCAAACATAAACATTACACGAGCCTGACGCAAACGCAACTCCTACGGAAAACATCGTCTATATTCATGAAAATAAAAAAAAAGCTGCAAACTTTTTATTGGGAAAAAAGCGCCAATTTTTTGTGAATATTTATAAATTCTACGTAGAATTTAAAACTACTGAGAATGCTGTTTGTATATTCAATATTATTTATAAATGTATTGAATATAATTTAGAACATTAATATATTTCAATTTTTGAAAAATTTGTCATACGTATTGTACGTATTTAAAAAACCACCGAAAATAGAAATTTACTATTTTACATTCGTTTTCTGTTTCTAAACGCTGCGTATTTTTGTATCATCATCGATTTCGTTATTTTGATTTCGCAAATGCTGTAATGGAACACCCTGTATATACAATGATCGATATGTGCTTTTTGAACTTATCGCGGCCTCTGTTGTGAATTGTTGGAAGTTTTCGTTAGCGAAGTAACTTGTACTTTGCAGTTACTACTGTTACCGACAACTTATATATCCATCAAAAAGCTGAGTAACAGTAACATAAAAATAAGCCGCTATTTTTATAAATTATTGATAAACTGTTTATTAATTAAAGTTTATAGTGATTTAAAAGTGAAAAAGGTAAGTCTCTTCTACTTTTTCGTTCTTTTTGCATCGTGAATAACAGCAAAATAATTGAAAAAAGTAATTGAAAAATGCATGTCATAGTAACCTAACCTATTTTTAAAATTGAAACAGCTTAAATTTAATTATTTTATAGATGTTTCTCACAAGAAGTGAATACGACAGAGGTGTTAACACCTTCTCACCTGAAGGAAGATTGTTTCAAGTTGAATATGCAATAGAAGCAATTAAATTAGGTTCTACTGCAATTGGAATTTGTACAAGTGAAGGGGTTGTTTTGGCTGTTGAAAAACGCATTACATCAACCCTAATGGAATCCACAACTATTGAAAAGATTGTGGAAATTGATAAACACATTGGCTGTGCAGTTTCTGGACTGATGGCTGATTCAAGAACAATGATTGATAGGTAACTGTTTTGTGTTGACCAAGGGGGGCTTCCAATGAATTAATATGGAGTAATTTTTTTCAAATAGAGCCAGAATGGAATGCCAGAATCACTGGTTTGTGTACAATGAGCGTATGACAGTCGAATCATGTGCTCAAGCAGTTTCAAATCTTGCTATTCAATTTGGAGATTCAGATGATGATGGGGCTGCTATGTCTAGGCCATTTGGTGTTGCAATTTTGCTAGCTGGCATTGATGAAAACGGGCCCCAACTGTTCCACATGGACCCCTCAGGTATAAAAAAAGCTGTAATGTAATAAATTAATAACTACATGCTTGGTTTGTTTTAGGTACATTTGTTGAATTTGATGCGAAGGCAATTGGCTCAGGATCTGAGGGAGCTCAGCAGAGTTTACAAGAGATGTACCATCGTAGTATGACTCTTACTGAAGCAACCACTGCTGCTCTTACAATTCTTAAGCAAGTCATGGAAGAGAAATTGAATTCCACAAATGTGGAAGTGATGACTATGACACCAGACAAACTGTTCCATATGTTTACTAAAGATCAGGTTGAGGAGGTAAGAAAGACTTTGTAATAATTCATCATGTGGCAGTTATAGTGCTAAATGTTGAAGAAGAAATGTAATGTAAAGGAATCTATGAAAATTAATAGGATATTTATTATTTTATTGTAAAAATTAATGGGGTATATATTATGCTATTTATGGAATGAAATAGAAAGAAGTTGCTCTTTTACATTTCAAAAAGTTTGTTAAAGATTTGCAACTGTTTTGGCATATGATGAATTAGGTTCCATTTTTCCCCTTGTAGTAACATTAGATAAAATCAGAGTCAAAAAAAGGACAAGATGGTCCTAAAAGCGAAACGTTGATTTGTTTTATAGGTATGTATAAATAAATTTATTTCACTTTTTTTGACTCTGGTTTGTTCTAATAAATAACTACTTAATTATTTTATTTCATTTAACGTTGACTTTTTACAAGTTATATTACTTATAAATATTTTTTTATAGGCTTTGAAGAAGGTCACATCCCTTGAACACACCAAAGGTGATGTATCCACTCACAGTCAGTCAGAAGTTGTTAGCACCGATTCATAATATTAATTAATTAATATTCTATTCTATTGAATACAATTTTTATTATTGTATTTGATTTTTTTTTCTAATAAATCATTTTAATTGCTATAGTATTTTATTATTTATGTTTCCTGTAATTAACAGTTTGTTATCACTTTCTTAAATTAAAATTACACAATAATTCATATCCTAAAGTCAATCAAGAAATTTATTGAGTAAGGCGATGATACCATATGGTAAATATACGTAAAAGTGAAATTATATCGAGTAGAAGCACTTCGTAGAAAATTACGAAATGTGCCTGCTGTTATTTTACTTAATATCGAAACTCTCTCTTTTAACAAAAATACAGGATAAGTTGCAATAATCATAAACATGATGGATTATTCGTTTTGAACACAACATCCTGCAATATTTAAAACTAAGAATTGTGTATATTTAAAATATCACACTGTATATTACTGATTTTATAAGAAATCGTTCTGCTTGGTTTACGTTACATGGGATAAATGGATATTGACATTAGGGTTGCATATCTTTTTTGCTCCTACTTTGAGGACTCATATCACTTAAAAGAACTTATTTATACCTGCTGATAAAGGTCAAAGTAGTAGTCCACCTGTAAGAGATTAACCAGATAGGCACAGAATCTTTATAAACAATCTCAGTTTAATTTATTACGTAAATAAAGATGCTTCTTAAATGCTGCTTGCATAGCAATGACGTATCAGTAGCTGCATAAGCGGTAGGGAACTAATCGTACGTACCAGAAGTTTTAGCGCCAAAATAAGCTTTTTAAATTGATTTCCTTTAGAAGGATCCTTTTACAGTTATTAATTGCTTGTTTCGCCGTGAGATTAACTTTGAAACGTTATTGCATGGAAAATTTGTGATATTTACATAGATTAACTATACTAATCTTGTTATGATGTTATTATTTTTGACAACGTATTTGATAAAATACAAAACCCTCGGTTCGTGGGTCAAACTTGCACCAAAGATGATACAAAAGATAAATTCTGATGTAGCAAAATGGTTTTTAAACTGTAATCAAGCCTATACATCGTTGTGGACACTGGCGAAGCCTTCGAGTCCCGATAGGCGATACTGATAGGAAATTTGAGTGGATGTACTTCCGAATTAAACCACATTTTCGTAATAAAAACGAGCAGTTTATTTGTTATTATTTGCGTCGATAATACATTGTGAAGAATCACCGCGATTGGTGGCGTGTGCCTATTTGGCGCTGCTACAACCATGATACCATTTTTTGTTTGGGCAAAGATTAAATCTACAACAAGCATTATATTAATTGGGCCAGTCGGGCAAAAAGGCATAGAAATTCGTGGCCTGTATTTATATCGAGGCAATCAGCCTGACCAACTGCATCATCATAATCTTACTTACGCTATAATTTAATTTGTGATCGATCTATAATATACAGGGTGGCCCAAAAGTACCCAATATGCTTATTGCAGCTAAACTGAAAGTTTAATCAAAAAATTTTTAATGCATGGTCGCTTATATTATCCAGATTTAATTTACTATACATAGTGTTTAATAATTGAAAATTTAAATGGCATCCATGTTACATATGGTTCCAATCGAAAAATGTTATAAGAAAAAGTTGTTCAGAATGTCAAAATAAAGGGCTAAGCAAAAAAAAGCGTCGATAGTTAAATATTTTTTTTATGGAATACCAAGTCGTATTTTTTCTATTTTTAAATACCTCTTAGGCCCTAGCTATATACAGTGTGTCCCAAGTGGCACTTTTTTACGTAGAAATAGATACGTACTTTCTTTTTTCTGTATTAGTCCTGGAAATTCTAAAATCGCCTATTAAAAAAGACCTAAAACACTAAAATATTTAAAAAATAATACCAATTAAGAGTTAAACTAATACCCAACATTAAAAAAATTTTCTTAAAAAGTCTTGAATATTTAAATTAATTAAGAAAATTAAATAATTACTTAATCCGCATTTTCCATTTAGATTTTAAAACACAAGAGGGAAAACTATTAAAAAATAGCAAATCATTTCTGTATTTACCTTAATAATTTCATTTTGTGCATCTTTAATTATTATTCTTATAATTTTAATTACCTCAAAGTTTAAATACTATTTCTTCTTTTCAGGACTTCATACCGACCCAACAGATATGCCAGGTATCCCACCAATTTCGTAAGTAAAACAAAAAATCCTCTAATTCAAACTCACCCTTAACTGAAACTTGTTAATTCTAAACTATCGACGTACTTCTGGATTTTGTTTTAAAGGCTAGCAAGTTACGATAATGAAACTAAAATATTTCTTTATAAATAAATCTTAATGAAATGTGTACATATGTATAAAATGAACATAATTATATATTTTGTTCGTAAAATTTCGCTCTAAATTATGAGGAAATAAAATGGCCTCATGGCTACAACACTAGTAATTGAGTTCGCAGATCTGTCTTTTATTACTGTGCCGTTGATGTTACATTATATTTAAATGTACATATTACCGTAACTTACGTGGCACGACTTTTACCTTTCACTCGTTAAAACATATAGAGCGTTAGTTAGCGAAAATATCGAACAGGTTTGAATGTCAGCGGGAAATTTATAGAAACTCCTTAGCCTACGAGTTTGATTGATCTGACAATTCAGGAATAGAGAACAGAACATCTCCTAGCGATCCGATGCAATTGTTAAGTGTAGATTTCTAATCTAATTATTAATATTATTTGTTGAATAAAAATTAATATGTATATATAATAGAGTTCTCTATCCTTTTATCTCTTCGGGAGAGAATATTTAGGGACTTAGGGTCATCATCATCATAAAGTCGTCAGTCCTAAAACTGGTTGGACTCGCACCTTAACACTTTCCTATCCTGAGCCAATCTTCGTATTTCCCTATAACTAGAACAACCCACTTCCTTAACTATTTGCGAACAGTAATTTAATCTAGGTCTACCTCTACTCCTCTTAACTCCTATTTCTACTTCCAATATGCCTCTGACTAGCCCTTTATGCCTAAGGTGTTCTACCAACCTATTTCGTCTATCTCTTATTACCACCACACTTCGCTTCTTATAACTTATCATGTTATAACGTTGTAAATAGTCAAGTCAAGGGTTCATCATCATCATCATCATAAGGTTATCAGTCCTATGACTGGTTTGGCATGCACCTCCACTCTTTTCTATCCTGAGCTAATCTTTGCATTTCTCTAAAACTAGAACAACCGATATCCTTAATTATTTGCGAACAGTACTCTAACCCAGGTCTATCTCTACCCCTCTTAACTCCCGTCTCTCCCTTTAATATGTCTCTGACTAGACCTTCATGCCTGAGAAAGTGTCCTACCAAACCATCTCTCCTATTTTTTATTAATTTCCATAAAGTCCTCTGTTCTCCTATTCTTTCTAATACCTCTTCATTTCTAACCTTCTCCATCCACGGTATCCTCATCATTCGCCTGTTAACACCACATTTCGAACGCTTCTAACCTTTTCTTGTCATCCACGTTTAGCACTCGTACAGGGCCGCGCTCCATACATACACCTTTAAAAACTTAAAAGTGACTTCTTTTTATTGAAGGCGACACTACTGCTATATATCCCTACTACTCTTTCGGTCCTGACTTATATCTGACTTCCTAGATACCTAAAATCAGACACTTCTTCTAATTTTTCGTCTCCTGTCTTTATATTCGGTCTTTCCCTACTTTTCCTTCCCTTACATACCAGTAATTTTGTTTTACTTTTATTTATTTTTATACAACACCGATTTGTCAATACCGCATTTAAAGCTTTCTCTAACTCCTGTTTGCTAGATGCTAATACTGCAAATCTATGCATACTAATCTTTTGCCCTTGCACATCTATCCCTACAGTTGGACTGTCTTTAATGATGTTGATCGCGTCTTCGATGTATAGATTGAAAAGTAGCGGTGGTCACAGTGTGCATTCTTTTCTGACTACCATCCAAATATCTAGTTCTCTACGTTACAGCCCCAGCTCTATAACTTCCTGGGATAGAAGGTATAAATGATTAATTAACTGACCGCAATCTATTTGTGTGACATTTTGTATTAAAATGTTATTAACAATTCTTTTCACCGAACATCAATAAGAAACATATCTAATTTGTTCAGTGAATTTTTCGTAGTCCGCTCCTGTCGTACGCCGAAACTTGTGTGCACGCCCAGTGTCTCGCATTTTCTTCTCATCATCATCCCTTAAATCTGTTAAAAGTTCCGTAAATTCCCTGGCAAACGGATTTTAATTGGACGCTTCCGTTCGCCACTTATTATTCCCGAGTTTCGCTCCGTTTCCACCGGAATCCCTGTTCCTCTTTCATTATAAAACGGGATAAAACGGTTGAAAATGAGAGAAAGAGAGCGAGTGATACTGAGCGAGAAAGGGATGCGTATCAAGTCATTCGTTCGCTTATACATATAGCATTACGACTTTCGGGGGATGATCGTTTCGAGGAGTGCGGGTTGATTTTGAGAGGGCGAGTGAACGATGGAGTTTGTGTCAAGAGCGGCGGTGGTGTTAATGAGTGATTTGGTGGCACAAAGCTGGTCCCTCGGGAGCCCTATCGTCCGGGAACAGGCTTGCTGAGTGCTCCGAGCTGGCGTTCCACATCGAAAGTTCCGTAACTGTTAATCTCGACTGCGACCTTTCAGCGAGGCCGACGCACGGCGCCGCGGCGCGTCGCTTAGCGTAGTCGACGCCCAAGAGACCCGGCAGCAGAATGGGGGAGAAGGTTCGCTAAATAGACTTATCGCTTTTTGACGATTCGCATACCACCGACAGTTATAATCCTGTTCAATGGACATGGACTATTTCACATTTCGAAAACGATTCAGTTTTTAATTGATGAAAATGAACTGCTGTAGATAAAAGTACCGTCCGCAGACAATTCGGTGTTTTAATTAACACTTTCGATTGAAATGAATGACCACATGGACTGGGTGTTGACAAAACAGTATTGTATGAAAATAAACAAATGTAAAACAAGGAAGTTACATCGTTAGTTTTGCACAAGAATTATAAATAACTACAGTGTAAACTCTATATAGCGACACTTAAGGGACTGAACATTTTTCGGCGTTATAAAGAGTAGTCATTAAACGGAGAGAGATAAAAGATATTATTTTATTTTTCTATAATAATATGCATTTACCAATATAGTACACATTTTGCACACGAACATTATTATTCATACATTGCGTATAGCCTGTTATCTTCGTCTGATGTTTTTTGCTGCTCCAATATTTTAATTGTATTTTGTTACGTATCTTACTCATATCTTGAGATACTGCTGGATCAATTTGATTATATAAAAAGTATTTTTTTAATAGTTTCGCTGCATCAAGTGCTTGTTTGATGCTTGGTGGAGGGACAGGATCGTCTTCTTCAACAACGTACACAGCTGCAGTTCTTATCTATTTCGGCAACTTAGAAAGTACTGCTCAATCATTTATAATGCCGCATTGTTGTCGTTAAATAGAGTGAGCATGGCGCTGTATAGAGTGTAATATTGTATAGAAAACAATGTAAACCAACCAAAGTCCAGCAATTTCGACGTTTTAAGGAGTTTGTCGTTAAATCGAGTGACGTTATAAAGAGTTTACACTGTATATGAGACAAGTCTGTTTGATGAAACTCTTAAAAATTTGCAGTTAAACAAAATAGGCGCTAAATTTTAAGCATGAGATGAGAATTTAGCATTACCAGCATTTTTAGGAGAGTGTTTCATTTTTTAATTTTCAATTTTTAACGCCTTCACCAAATCAAATTTTGCAAAATTCAAAATATCTATGTAGTTTTGCAGATGTGTTTCGTAGAAGAATTAGTTATTTATTATTCTTTTAGCAAAACTAACTTATTTCACATTGCGGCCCTCGAAACTCTTTAAATGATCCTGTATCAGAAGCTTAAAATGATATTGATAAGAATTAATCTTGAAACTAATCCAAAATTTTGTTGAACAGCTGCTTCATCTTTTTTATTATATGCGAGCCTAATGTTTATTTATAGGCGAGACATCAACAGGACATAAATATTATTATAGATATAAAATAAAAAATTATGTTGCTCGAGTGTCAGTTTTTTCCCCTCCGTGTATTTTACAGTCGTATGATTCATAGACATCTTCTTCCAATATGTATAAATAATTTAGCGGACATATTTGACAAATATTTTTGAAAAAATTTTCTACACATAAACATGAAGTCGGACGTCTTTGAAACACGTATTGTGATAAAATAAAATAAAACCAAACAAACCCAAGTCACGCGTGCACCAGAGATAAATATTTTTTCTTAGGCGTTGTAGTTGATAAATATGCAAATCCTGATTTTATGGGGAAGAAATTCAAAGGTCACCTGCCCGTTGACATTTGGTGTTTATCGTAATGGCTACGCAATCAAAAATTAAGAAAAAAAGTATTAGTTGCTCTTATTAAACGTTGCAAAGATCTATAAATACACGCCAACAGGTGTTTCAACATTCTCAAAATCAAAGAAAAACAGTAGAATACTGCAAACAATTATTTAAGCATTACAGTTTAAAAATTAACTTTAAATTTCAGATTAGAGTTTTGAAACAACTAAGTATATTGTGTGGAAATATTTCTTAATTTTTCGACGTAGGGAACAGTGAAATGATTATTTTTACGTTTGTTGTTTAGAATAAGCAACTTTGGCCACCCTGTACATGAAACCTGTCGGTCAGCTTTAACACCTGAGGTTAACCTTGAAGTTCAATTAAAGTTTGTAATTATTGTTAATTAGATATGTACGTTCATTCGAAGCATACACATCCGTTGCTTCGTAATTCAGAGTCAACCTCTAAAATGCACTAATATTTAATGCAAAATTGATGCAACTGTTTCAGTTATTTCGCAATTGAATTTTGAACCGTCTAATCTACGAAGNAGATTAGAGTTTTGAAACAACTACATTGTGCAGAAGTATTTTTTAATTTTTCGACGTAGGCAACAGTGAAATGATTATTTTTACGTTTGTTGTTTAGAATAAGCAACTTTGACCACCCTGTACATGAAACCTGTCGGCCAGCTTTACCACCTGAAGTTAACCTTGAAGTTCAATTAAAGTTTGTAATTATTGTTAATTAGATATGTACGTTCATTTAAATCAGGCCTGAGACTAAGCATTAAAGCTTATCAGCTGTTTGGCTCTTATCACGATCGGTGTCAGTATTCACCGGCATGTGTTTGCCTATCATTAAAATTTCAGCAAGAACTAGTTATGCCGGTATTGATTATCGATAAATTCGGTCGGATAGATTCCGCCGAAGTATTTCGCATACATCAGATAAATTAGAAAATAATAGAGCCCTCGTTAAAATCAAATAAAAAGTGGAGGACGTGTCTTCTCGTGTAGGTAGGTAGGATACCCGTAATGCAGGACCATCTGCTCAGATTACAACTGTTGATAGTTGCCTGCCAAAATAACACTTAGTCGGCAACTTTGCCAGGACGAATTTCAAATAATGAATCCGATTTTAAGAGTCATAAATATCACAAGTTCGACTCGATGACATGTTCAAAAGAACGCCGTCAATAAATTATCTTTTTAAATAGTATCTTTTTTTTTAATTGACAAATTTCAGTACAAAACATAATTTCGTGGGCTTACTGCTAGAAATTTTACTTAAAAACTTTATTGATTACAGAATACAGACCACTTCGAATTATTTTATTCGAATTATTTTATTGATTACATTGATAATTGCTTTTTAAAATCGATTTTGAATTAAGCAAAATAGAGTGTCTTAAGTAACTCCTGAAAATGGTAAATTAAGAAAAAATTCAACTTGACGCATCGTACTCATTTCAGTTTCATTATTGTTGCAAAATTTTAAATTATCGACAAAGATTATTTAATTTAGGCGCGCATTCCTACAATTGGCAAATTGTAATGGCCGCCAATAGCAACAATGCGTCAACAATGGAAAAAGTAATGGCCGACGTCGGCAACAATTGGAAAAGCAAAATGGCCGACTACTGCAACAATAACACAATGATATGTGGTTAAAAATGGCCGACATTTCAAAATGTAAACAGAAAGAAATGCCTTAACAAAATTAGGATTTTCTTGGGAACTTGAAAGAAGCCTATCTCTGCTACAAATTTAACCTGCATTTAACATGCATACATAACTTCTGTACAACAAGAGACAAATTCCATAAATATATTTCTAAAAACGTCTTAAATTTAAAATATAAGCAAGTCATTAAATAAAAGCACTCATGTATTTAATTTTACGTAATTTGCTGCATATATTTTGTGACATTTACAGCTAATTCTTATGCAAAACGAGTCATTAATTTTGGTATTTGTTAATTAGGTAACTAACTCTCGAAAATATAGCCAACGAGGATTTAATGACTTAATTGACTGAACGCTAATTTCTAAAAGGCAAAATATAGCACCTACTGCATATTATATTTATTCTTACTAAAAGTACCTTTTTCTTAATCGTATTGGGGGGTGAAGCACAGATATATTCATAAACAAATTACTTTTGCAAATACATTTTAAAAACTTGATGGAAAAATATCCTTAACGATTAGTGTTTTTGCGTTGATGAATGTCGGAATAAAAGTCGGCAGAGTGAACTTAACAAATAATTACTTTATTAACGAAANGGCTTATGTGGGATTGTTGTTGAAATTATTAAATGTGTGTAGAGATGTAGAATCATAAACAAGATAATAGCACGTGCTTTATAATGTAATCCCTCGTAATCTATTCTTTTGTTACCCGAGGGTTACACGAGTCATTGGATATCGTACCTAAACAACCTCCCCTCTGGGTATTCAGAGATAGGTCCATATTGTATGCTAATTTCGATAACAGTTAGTTATTGTTAGATGATTGTGCATACGTAATTTATAATTATCAAAACGAATTTAATATTTTACACATTCTCAACGTTTATTTGTATGATTCTTTTTACTTTTTTTTTGCATTTCTCGAACTATACAGCAAAATAACTTCTAAAACATTGCATTCCATTGTTTACTTTTCTATTTACGATTGTCAATTTTGGAAATCGTAAAAGGACATATTTTATCACTTAATTGGTCTTTCGTACCGAAAATGGTTCGAAGAAATATATTGTGTTCATATATCCATATCCATTCCATATTTGGCTAACCAAAGCAGCAATTTTGCTTTCTAACTCATAGTTATTACAACTAAAGGTCGCTTGTTTGCTTTAGTTTAATAACTCGTAAAAAATAGGCCAAAACAATCACCTCTTTGCTCTACCATCGCCTTGCATAACGTTCCCGGGCAAAGTAATAAAAAAAAGAGTCAAACTCCTTCCTTAATAACACAGATTGCAAGTGAACCTGACATATCAAGGTCTGCCGTCTCTTCATCATTTTGTGTTTCAATTCACTCGATTTAAACTTATTAGTTGCATGTACATGCACATTCGAATAAATCTACGTATTGCATATGTTGTAACAAGTTACGTAAATAGTAAAATTAATTAGAAATGTAGTGAGTATGTAACTGCTAGCTACTTATACGTATGCGATATAATTTGTTCGAAATGCCTTAATAATTATTTCCTAATTCCTTCACACGCATATGTGTGTAATTAATAGACAAACGTTTATGTAAAAGGAAGACAGTTATGTAAAAAGGACTCGACCAGAACTGGTCTGTTAAAAACTACAGGCACTATTCACCACGCTTGACATATGTTCCGTTTTCTTGATTTTAATTGCACATTGTCGACGCAATTAGGAAACCAATAGAAGCTACACACAGACAAACAGACAGACAGACAGAAGACACAAAAAACTTTCACTTTCGCGGATGATGATGGTTCGTTGTTAGCAGTTTTGAGATAGAGATCGCAAAGCTGCTAGCCGGTACGGAATCGAAAATCTACCTGTTAAATTAGCTTTCTAATTGATTGATTAAAAATAGCTCTCCTAGGTAAGTACAGAAGTCAAACTAGCTGCAGTTTATTTTTAAAGATAATTTATTACAAAATAGACAAAATTAACACACAGTAACTCTCTTAATACGTAATACTGCACATAAAGCAATTTAATATCGAGGAAATAATTAGGTGTATGTAATAGTCGTGCAGGTAACACAGCAAGGCTTTCACTATGCGCGGTCGCATCCGATCTTTGTATTTGTCTGACTCGTTTTCTTTATTTATTTATTATTTCTACATTCAGACAGATACGTCGAATCTTCGGCAACCGGCAACAATAAATTTATTTATTTACATAATAATATAACTAGAGTAGGTACTAGAACGTTGGTTAGTAATGATGATGGTGGTGATGTTCTGGAATCTTAACAGGAACGTGCACAGGTACTTTGACTGGATAAGGTATTTCTTTTTCTACCGCATATGGTACTTCTTTCACGATGGGCACGGGCCTCTCGACTGGTACATGAACTGGCACTGGTACTGGTTTTTCAATCTCGACTGGTACCTTCTTTTCAACTTCGTACGGCTGTGGTACTGGTACTTTTACGTGATAAGGCACAGGCTTTGGTACTTCGACTGGATATGGTTTGTCAATGGGGATTTTGACTTCGTATGGTACTGGTTTTTCGACTGGATATGGGATGTGTTTTTCGACAGTGACTGGGTATGGTTTGGGCACGTGCACGGGATAGGGCCTGTCGACAGGAACTTTCACTTCGTAAGGTACTTTCTTCTCGACGATGTAGGGTTGTGGTACGGGTATTTTCTCTTCTATATGTATCGGAACCCTCTTTTCGACGATGTAGGGTTCTGGTACATGTACTTTTACTGGGTATGGTACTTTCTTTTCGACGGTGTAGGGCTGAGGTACCGGGATTTTGACTTCGTATGGTCTAGGGACTGGTACCTTAACTTCGTATGGAATCTTCTTGATAACTTCGTAAGGTTGAGGGAAAGGAACGGGTACTTTGATATATTCCTTGACAGGTACTGGTACTTTCTTCTCTACGATGTAAGGTTGTGGCACTGGTACTTTGACTTCGTAAGGAACCTTTTTCTCCACGGTGTAGGGTACGTGTTTTTCAACGGTTACTGGCACCGGTACCTTCTTTTCTACCACAACGGTCTTGACCTCTTCGTGGTGCTGGTGGTGGCCTCCGTAGTCGCCTCCGCCATATCCTAATTCGGCGCCCCCCTGGAAATCACCGCCACTGAAACCGTGGTCACCAAGGCCATAAATTCCTCGTTTCTCCTGCTTTTTCTCGTTCTTAGTAGCTGCCGAACTAAGACTGAAGAACAGGCAAACGGTGCCTAAAAGAATCTATAAAAGAGAAAACATTTTTTATCGCTATATATATATAGAAAAAATGAAAATTGTTATGTTGTGTGTCAACCCTATCAGCGAACCTTTTCATTTGTTGAAATTATTAAATATTGACACTTTATTCCAAACAGTCACTTTTCTATACGCAATCAAATTACAAATGTTTCAATAATTTTAGATTTAAGTCAACAGATAATTATTTTTAACGGTTTTTAAAAGTTCAGAACAGTTCAACAATTAAATTTAAAAAACAAGTGCAGCCGAAAAAACAGCAGAACTGAACATTGTTATTGTTTTTTATCTCACAACTAACAAATGAAATCTATTGTTTAGCTGAATATTGTTATACCAAAAAAACTTAATTTTCTTTTGTATGCAATACCTAGCACAAATATTATTTTTTTGAGTATTTTAAATGTCTTCCTAATGAAAATTGAAGAAGACGATAACCAGGAGCGAAACTTTTTTAACCAAAATCTAATTTAAAATTTGTTGTTTTTAAAAATTTTCAATAAAAAAGGCACTTTTGTGTCGTATCACTGATTAATGCACAACTTTTTCAATTTTCACTAATTTTTCTTTTTTATCACTTGCACTCGTTCCGTCGTTTGTCTGATAATTACTCACCAAGGCCCTCATGATTCTGCGTTATGGATTCGAAGGATTTGAAGGCTTTGATGAAAGAGAGCGTGTTTCGGCTTTTATATCGCTTACCTCGCCACTCAAACGCTTTCTCACACGCAAGTTAGCGTACAACTTCATGTAAAGTATTTCACTTCCACATCCGCTCCGCTGATCACGATGCATAAGTATTTACGTATGTACATGAGTATTTACAATCTTACCAATGATATATTTTTGTATGTATGCACCTCTTTGTATTAGTGTACTTTTGATTTTTCGAAAAGTATGTACGTATGTGTGTTATCTTCCAGCATTACATAATTGGTATGTGTGGTTCTTTATTTCTGGGTGACAGTGCGTGTAGGTAGATTTAGTGAAAAATGAAGAGAATGGGCAGCACTGAGGTAAAGGAACATTTACTGGATTGCCCTAAAACCACCTAAAATTGTATCAAAAGACTCAAAGCTGCTAGGGGAGATTCACTATTACTATAGTACTATGGAACTTTTCGTAGGTTTCAAGGATCTAGCAAAAACTACTTCAGTTGTTTAAATCAAACTTAAGGATGTTTGGAAGGTATGCCAAAATACTACGAGACAAATAAAAATTTGGAAGAACGTTCTTCATTCAATTCTAAAACTCCAGTAAAAATTACAAATCGATTCACTAAACCGTTAAAAAGTTATTGAAATTTTAAAAAATTGTAATTTTACACGTCATTTTATGGAGATTCGTTAACCGAACAGATTAAATTTATTTTTATTAACAGAAAAAAAAAGCTACCAGAAATTTCAAACTGTTATAATAAGTAATTTGAACTCTAGAGAATCACTTTAGCGTAAGGTTATTCAAATTCACTAAATGGTTATCGAGGAAAGAATGAAAAATTAGCTGAAAATCTCGTTTTTACTTGATAATATAATGATAATATTTATAATTGTCTGAAATAAATGCAATTTTAAAGTTTTAATTATTATTTAAACATATTAAAAAGTTTTACGCTCATTATTAATAGAGATTGAAACTAAATATTT